GGTGCTTCCAGCAGTGCTCCTGGAGGTGCTGGCAGTGCTGCTGGCTGAGGTGGGTATTGTAGGCGTGGGTGTGATGGTGGTTGTTGTGCCTTTTGTAGAAGGGGGAGAGGTCCTGGTGGTGCTGGCCCCACGGGTGGTCGTGATGATGGTCGTTCCTTGTGTTGGCGGGGTGGTGGTGCTGGGGAGAACTGTGGTGCCCGTGGTGGTTGTTACAGATGATTGGGAGAGGGTGGAGGCAGTAGTTGGTCTTGCTGGTGTTTGGGTTGCCACAGTGGAGGTTTCTGCTGAAGCTGATGTGGTCTTATAAGCTGCTGTTGAGACTTGTGATGTCTCTGCTGTAACTGAGGTTTTGGTCAGAGGTGTTGTGCTTTCGGTGCCTCTCGGTGCTGTTGTAGGCATTTTGGTTTTTTGCGGTTGAGTTTCTTGTGTTTGTGTTGTTGGTTTTATCTTTGTCTGTATTGTAAATGCTGTTGATTTTACAGCAGCAGTTGTGAATTCTTTTGTGCTTCTCGGTGTTGTCGTTTGTATTTCTGAACATGGTACGTAGCTGCAGCATGATATTCTGATTTCATAATTATAGCAGCGCTTAGATTGTTGGTCTTTGTTATTGCATATTAATCCTCTACTTTGACTACATTGTACTGTTTGGTTAAGATTGTTTATTTCTGTATCTGGGTGTTCTTTCGCTCTGCACTGAACAGCGTTTGGGTTTTTACACACACCATATCCTTTATCTCTGAGACTTTCAAATGTTTCAAAATCTCCACTGTCCTCTTTGTCTTCAGGCTGTGAGCTGTCATACCATTCCGACCACGCGCAGACGTGCTTCACGCATACTGTTGTCACTGGTGTTGTAGTTGTCATTTCTGTAATTAAAAGGAGGAAATATAAGTCTTGTCTGTTCTTATTAAAGGAAGTGCCAGGAAGAAAATTATTCATCTTCCATACGTGGTAATGTAATATTATATATGTTACTGTGGTATTTTAATGCACTTGCTTTGACAGTCTTGAATTTAATTTCTAAGGTGGGTTTTGACCTCATGTCTGTATTATTTTTCTAGTGCCACTTTATTAAAAAATTGTAGTTAAATATATCTAATACTGTATCGTTTGTGTGGAATGTCAATATGTAGGATAATGTGATCTCGCGATTGCTATGGTGTAAAAGGAGGTTTTATTCTCCTCAATATTATCTCTGAACTTGTTTACATTTAGCTGCATAACCACACAGGCTTTAAAATATTTTTACAGGTTAATGACTTTTCTACTTATTTTAATATTTTAACATGTAATATATTAATAAATATAAAAATATATTTAACATACGTATTTTATATATAACATATTATAATGTAGAACACACATGTACGATGTATATGAAAGACATAATCTAGTAAGTATTTTCTACTTATTTTAATAAGAATTCTTTTTATATTCTTAGCATTATGAAGATAACCACGTGGAATTTATACCACTTTCTTCATATGAATGTTACTTAATAGAAAACTTAAAGCTGAATATTTAGTTCTTGCTGTAGTATTGTGTAATTTTGTGGAAATATTTCTCAAAATGTCTCAGAATTACATGGTTGCTCTAGTGAGTTAACTGCAGGAATAATGTAGAATTGTGTTGCAGGAATAGAAGGAAACTGTTGATTTGCTTGTTAAATACAATTAGGAAAGGTTCCAAAGAATGGTTTTAAATAATTTGAGCATTCCCTCAAACTAGATTTCATATCTTCTGTTTGCACTAATGCGGTCAGCAATTTAAAAAATGGCAGTAATTGTCTTCTGTGTTCTCAGATGTTGGTCTAGAACGTCTGGGTTTTGTTTGCACGGAAATGAGGAGATTCTCTAGGGTGCAATGATCAATAAGCTCTATTCTTTTTTTCCCGCTAGAAAGACCATGGTGAAACAGTGGAGACTGAGTTTGTAAGAAATGCTGTACTCGTTTCTACAGCCTTGATTATGGTCACCTTTAGCGACTGAAGCTGCCAGGTGAACTGGTGGCTCCAACAGAAGTCAACGGTTTCAAGTAAAATTACATGCCATTAACTGACGAAAAAGGCCCTCCCTTTCAGGCAGTTTTCAGTCCCTTCCAGAGATCTTTCTGTTATTTTAAAGAGTATTCATGCGTACCTGAAGCAGCAGTTGTGGGCTGACTTGTAGAAAATGTAAACGGGGTTGTTGTAGAGATGCCACATGTAAAGATATTTCTGTTTATTGTTCCATTGACATCACAAGTTGCACTGAAACACCATCCCGTTCCATCTGTGGTGTTGTAGATGAGTTCACCATATTTATAGTTGTTCCCTTCATAAATGCAGTGGCATGCTGTAATTCAGAAGTAGTTTATTGTCAGTCATCTATGAAAAGAGAATAACCAGTATTTCGTTTTCTTAATAATTCTTCTTAGCTGTCTTACCTTTATCGTCAAACTTGCACTGTAAACCTTCTGATGTGCATTCACTGAAATAAAAACCATTAAAAAAACGTGTATTTTTTGATTATGAGGTAGTTTTACTAGTCATCTTTCTGCCAGATACTAGCATCAAAAGTCAGGACGCTTTATTTGTGTTTATTCCTTGAATGTCCTGTTCATGTTGGCTTCTTTTTTTGCCATTGTTTTCCAAAATCCTTCTCTATATTAACCCCAAACTTATAAATTGAAGTGAAGCTAAATATTATGCAAAGCTACAGGTAGAAGTTTTAAGGAAGACTTTCCTTCTTTTCCCCTTACGACTTTCTTGGCACTTGCAATGTCTTTGTACCTTCTAAAGCAGACTAAAAAGGGAAATAGTCTAAATACTACAAGCAGTATAAGAATGTAATAAAATCCTTGGAAGTAGACCCCTATTAGATATCTATGCTCCTGGAACAATAATCTTCCTGCCATAGGAATGGGAAATAGAGAAATCCTGGTCATAAAGGACTTACTGTTCTTGTTTGTCTTTATGCTGAGGATTTACAACATAATTAGGAACAAATTCAACAGAATGTAAAATCACATAAGGACTTCTTACACATGTACCTGTGTAATTTTAATAAGGTCTAACTTTAGATAGCAAGGCATTATTTTCACACAGGCAGTACAAACTAGTCCTGACATGTAACAGAAACACGTTATTTCCCACCGCTGTTTTGACTGTTTTTCCTTGTACGTGATTAGCCCGGTACGTTGAGTCTTACCATAACTGACATTCATCCCGTCTATATATCTTTCCATCTTCATTATCATAACAGTCACAGAGACTGACGCACTTCATCTGATCCTCATGAAAATATGGCTTTTCCGGGGGGCAGTTAGGGTAGCAGCCTGAAGGAAGCAAAAGGGCATATAGAAGGCAGAAAAGGTGAGAATGAGGGACAGCCAGCAAAAGTTTTATTTGTGCAGAATGTGTTTGCAGGTCTTGTTTTTAATAGTCATAATATTTACTACCTATTTTTTTCCAGTAATTCTAGGAAGCAATGCAGAGTACTAGCGTCAGCAGAGCCCACCCACGAGGACTTGGTCCTAGAGATGATTTAACTCCAGTTTCCTTACTCTGCCTCCATTCAGGTGGATGCAGTGATGTTGTAGAGAATTGAATGGTGCAAATGCAGCTGACAGAGGCAATAGTCCATTAAAGATCATTAAAAATATAATAAAATGTACCCACTTACAGGTACTTGCAGCTCTTTTTACCTTCTAAACCTCTCAAGTTATGGAGGCATTTTCCACTTGGGTTCCTACAGGTCTTCATACAGGAAGCTCCACAAGGCTTATAGTGCCACTCACATTCTCCTTGTTGATTGTAGTAATCGCAGAACAGTGCTAAGGAGAAAGAGAAATTTGGACACGTTCAGGAAAAAAAAAAAAAAGAGCTTTTTTTTTGACTCACGTCTGTTCATCGTATCCCTGCAATGCTGCTTGAACGGTCTTGAAAACCGTGAATGAAAAATTGTGTGACCATCAAAACAGCTTAGTGTGAAAAGTCTGCCCAGCGAGGTTGTACTGCACGTATGTAAGATACCCAGGGTGTGTGTTCATGGGCGTCAGCAGGGCAATGTACATCTAACTACGCTCTCAGAAGAAGTGTTTATGACATAAAACTCACGACAGATTGACGGGGTTCTCCAGGCTACGCAAACACCAACTTCACTACATGCTTGAGCGTAGGCAGCTACTGCTGTACAAAAGCAATCACAGTCTCCTCCAGTGTCACATGCGCAAGCATCTGTCACACATGCTTGGTAATACTTTGCTGGTTCAACCTGTTATTAAAAAGAAATGTAACACTATACATGCTGCCTTCTGAATTCTTTCTTACCTTTGCTAGGGTGATTTTCTTAAATTGTAATATCTCAGAAAAAAGCCCTACATCAGTAATTTAATTTTCTTTTGTTTATATACACTGTTAAGCACCAGAGATGATGCCAGATGATACACCCAAATCACGTATTGACAGATTTTTAAACACCCAGACTTGTATCCTAGTGGAAGATTAGATTCATATTCCCAAGCAATGTTAGGCAACTGCACTTGAAAATGAAGGTCTCTGCCAGTGGAAAGAACTAAGGCAACAGGAGGAGCACTGAGTTCCCCTGCATTGTTTGGTGTGTACTTGGTGCCAGAGAAAGGCTATGCTGATACTTCATTGCTATGTTATTCTGTCATTGAGCTTGTTCTGTACATGGTGTATGAGAATTTGTATTCAAGTCACACTACAAGAAAATACATAATAATTATGAAATTATTATTCTTTTGTAATAGGTCAATATTTCCTATGAACTAAATGTCCTTTTATTTCTTACAGGTATAAATCTGTCCCATTGAGCAGGATTCAGATTGAAATTTTCCTGACACAATTCCAGGTGAAACATGCAAATGAATTAGGCTTGCATGTGAAAATGTGTGAGGAGAGCAGCTTCGATAATACACAGACCTAGTCTTCACAGAAGTAAACTTCTGCCCTGGCAATACCTGAGAGTGACAGGCAGCAAAGATGTTGCTGTTAATGATGCTACACTGCTTCTCTGACCAGGACTTTCGATAAGGGTTGGTGGAACATGGGTCCTTTACGCTGGAAGCATCAGGACATGTAGAAGATACTTTCCAGCTGTTTCCAAACTCTAGGACATTCTCTACCACAGACTGACTCCTTGTAGTATAGTCATTGATGCCGTTGCCATCATAATTTCCACAGAGGCCACAGATCTGTCCCTGCAAAAGGAAGTAAATAAAATACTAATGGATGTGAGAAAACTTGAAACAACATCTGAGACTGAAAGAGTACTTGAAATTCAGCTCTTAGAATGGTGCAATTCCATTCTGTCACTCCTGAACATCTTCATCTTTGTTTCTTCAGCAACAGAACACGACCACTGAGGCTAGGAGGATGCTGCCATTGACATTGCTTTTACATCTGAACAATAAACCCATCTTTGTCATTTGAACCTTGTGGCTTTGAGGTATGTCTTTAATGAGGAAATGAGGACTCACAGCCAACTAAGCTTTTCATTTAAGCCTTGTTTTATACAATAGATGTACATATAAAAAAAGAACCTTACGAAGCTGTCATAAATACTACCAGTCCAGCCACATCGTCTGCTCATTGAGTCTTTACTGTTGTGACTGCTCACAGGTATAAAAAGAAATGACATTTTTCTTGCGCATCCAGAAATACCCCTCATTCTAAATTTATGTGTCTGTAAAACTGTAATAGGCTACAAGGGATGCTATGCTTTCTCTATGAATCTAAGGTGCATACTTTCCATATTACTCCTATTTTTATAAAGTGCCAGTGGGTGAGGCAGCAAAAGAACCTATGATACTGAAATAAGTTTGTATATCTAGTTCTAAATTACACTTAATTTATATACCTAACTGAAATGTGGTATGACAAGAGAGATACATTTTCCTTGTCACCTGTGTAGATATGTGCTTGAAAAATACATAGTAATATTTTACAAGAGGTTTTCACTCATAATACTTCACTTTCTTGTTCTTAAAGTATGATAATTTGATTTGTGTGTCAATGAGAACCAGAAATGATGGGTTACTTTCAAGATTAAGACTACGTACGTGACTCCTACACATGTACCTGTGTAATTTTAATAAGGTCTGACAAAGTCAAGTCCGAAAAAGTAGTTTGCCAGCTGAAGTTCTGTCAGGGCAAACAGGCACTGAAAGCTGACTTCAGAACTCAGAACAGCAGCAGGATGTGACATGCCTTCCTAAGGCACCAGAGGAA